TTGATTGATGGATATAAACATCATCTTCCGGCTATTGACGCCGAAGCTAAAGACGCTGACGAGGTGCTTTACCAAATAGAAGCTCCAATTCTATTGGTTGGAGAAAAAGACGCTTCTAGAAAATTCTCAGGAATTTTAGAAGCTGTGCTCTAATTGGATAAAACCCAATTTCATAATCTAAATAATAACTTGAGTTATTGAAGAATAAAACTTCAAGAGTCAGTCTAGTTCGAGCATTCAAGAAGTTAAGCCTTAAATCTGACCTATTCGGAAAACTAAATTTATAACATGTAATTCATATATATATTTAATATAATAAATAAATATTTTATTAAAAATAAAAACTCGTGTTCAAAAAAATTAATTTGCACGCACGTTGTTCTAATTTTTGATCCATTATCCATTATAAAAATCGCCACAATACTATTATTTCTATTACTTTTATTATTGTCATTATTGTCGATAGGTAAAACCAGAAATAAACTTTTTAATTTTTTTACTTTCATAAACCATGTTTCTTCGGTTCTAATTTTGCAGTTCAATTTCAAATTTATATCCAAATTTGTTAATAAAAATGGAAAATAAAAAAACGGATGACCACAAAACAAAGTATGTTAAAGTGAATTAATAAACAAATGCTAAAATAATTTATTTATTTCTAATTCAAAAAGGCGATCAGTGTTTCCTGCCACGTTGGATGAATTTATAGAAAATACAAATATAATCAAAGTCGTGGAAGAGTATATTAAAAACAAGCACCCAACGCTTTTAAAAGAAGTCCAAACCAGAAGCCAAAGTTATGAAATAATGATGAGGGCTAAAAATATCTAAAAAACATTTTACAAAAGGCCGCATCGTAGGCAAGTTAAAACCCTAAATTAACATAACGGCACTGAGCCACTGTTTAATACTTTTGTATCTTCAGAATGCGTACTTAGATATTACGCATCAAAATATCTTTATATAAACATTCAGGCTTAATGCCCATACTTCATCTGACAGCAATGCTGCAAAGGAAAACAAAATTGTTTTCTTTAAAGATGTAACTCATTTGAGATATTTGATTGATGGATATAAACATCATCTTCCGGCTATTGACGCCGAAGCTAAAGACGCTGACGAGGTGCTTTACCAAATAGAAGCTCCAATTCTATTGGTTGGAGAAAAAGACGCTTCTAGAAAATTCTCAGGAATTTTAGAAGCTGTGCTCTAATTGGATAAAACCCAATTTCATAATCTAAATAACTTGAGTTATTGAAGAATAAAACTTCAAGAGTCAGTCTAGTTCGAGCATTCAAGAAGTTAAGCCTTAAATCTTACCTATTCGGAAAACTAAATTTATAACATGTAATTCATATATATATTTAATATAATAAATAAATATTTTATTAAAAATAAAAACTCGTGTTCAAAAAAATTAATTTGCACGCACGTTGTTCTA